AGCCCATTTTAATACCCAAGGATTGCCTCTTTGGGCCCTTCCACATAGCCATTTAATCCAGAATATCAAGGCAGATAATCCACAATATCTGATTTGAACTGGAATATCTGAGTCCACACTGCCAGGTAATCCAGTTAAATGTGGATTTCATACAGCTGTGTAGAAGAGGCCTTTGTGAAGGTAACACTCAACATGCTAGATTACAAATTTAAGCTAGTTAAGAGACTATCTCATTGTCATCAAGAGCACCTATTTGCTTTGTGACACTTTTTTTGTTGCTTTCCTACTTCCTACCTTGCCCTCTGATGTGGCCTATTACCTCAAATATCTCTTGCCTTGACATTCTATCAATGCCTTTCTTCTTATCCCTGTTGTATGTCTTCAAGCCATTTCCAACTTATGGGAATTCTAAGCTGAACCTATCATGGGGTTTTCTGGGGTTGAGTGTGTGTGACCTCTTCACATTTACCTTTTTTCGGTGGTGCAGCAGGGTTTACTTCTTCAGCCATGGAACCTAATGGCTCCCATCACATCCTGGAGAACTACTTCCAGGACAGCTCTGTAGCTGAACTGCCGCCACCACAAAAATGGTGGACGAGAAGTTCCCCATCATTCTATTAGAAAAGATGGGTCGTCCTGCCATAAACAGGCTTCCCCCCTCCCATGTGATGAGGCAGGGGGGAAGATCCGACAGAGTGGGACGTGAGGCGATAGGTCCCCACGCCCCTGCATGAGTGCCACCAGAACGATGTGAGACAACCCGATTCTGGCAGCACATGTTATGAAGTGTCTAGTGGGTTTCCATGGCTGAGTGGGGAATCAAACCCTGATCTCCAGATTTGTAGTCCAGTGCTTGAAGTACACCATGCTGGCTCTTCTTGTTCCAGTATGCACTGAGAAAAGGAGGGAAACTGTACATTTCTACAACCTACCTTGTAAAGATATAAAGTAGAAACTTATAAATATATCTGCATCAACTCTTTGAAAACACTTAAGGAAAGCATATGGTTCTAGAGTCACAGTTTGAAGATCACCATATGGCACCAGTTCATTATTTTAAGAACAAATGAAGCAAGAGAGAAATATTCTGTGCAAATAATTTATTAAAGTATAAGATTCATCTGTTGATATTCACCATTGAAACATGAGTGACAATTTACTTATGCAGTCCATTTTATGTGTTGCCATTTTATCTAGATCTTTACTTTCCATTGAAGCATGACATTGCCACATGCTCAGTATATGAACTGTTTTATAGAACAGACTATAAACTGAAATGGTATTTGTATAACATTATACAGGAAACTGAATGGGAAGTGACTACAGCTTATACAATCAGTGTGACTACAGAACCATAAATTGTGTGTTTGGTGTCACTGTAGGTACATGCAAGAGGGAGGGTGGAAAGAGACTCCCCTGCCTGCTCCTCAATCCTTCCTGCCCTCTGAAAATGCTACGCAGAGGGTCAAAAGTGCTAGTTAAATGGAGTGTAAATGACATTTTCTCCACATGGTTTTTTTGGGACTCTGATTTCACTGCTATTCCACAACTTTCACATTCAGTGGAACAGAGCTGGGAGTGTTACTTTATTGTACCATAGGTCCTGTAATACTCCACACACCATAACCAATTAGTTTTCGTGGCTAGATTTGTGTTTTTACCCTAACTTTGGCAACAAGTTTCTCTAACTTTAGTGTAGCATTTTCTGGAGGCCGGAGCAGGAGTTGGTGAGGGAGGAAGAGTGGGGAGGTCAGTTTCCACCAGTCTGAGTTTCAAGTGTCTACACCTAGTTCCAGTTCAAAAATCAGAAACTTCAAAAGATACATCACAGTTGGAAAGGGAAACAAAGTAAAACCTTAACCCAAAATACAAAACTCCACATTAAGGAGGTATATCATAGGTATATAGATTCATCGTGTTTGTTCCAGATATCACTGAAACAATATTAAGTCACGGTGACATTAACTGTTCTCTCTCTCTCTCTCTCTCTCTCTTTCTCTCTCTCGGGTTTTGAAAGAGTCTTGAACTTAAATCTCCTGTCTTAATGAACCGCCGAACAGTGGGTGTGACTTTAAACATAACCTTTAATGAATTATTTGCAAACATGTGTGTATATGATGCATTGCCTGATTTGCTTACATGTCATATACTCTCATGAGTCCCAATAGGCTTTTAACCATGAAGGTTGAGCATCTAAAAGTTATTTGTAGAGACAATGATATTCTATCAATCTGGACATTACTGTTAATACTGAATAGTATTAACAATAATTACATGTCAATGCAATAATTACATGTCAAGATAGAAATTAATTATATATCCCCTTATAAACAGTAGAAGGTGTTGGCACAAATTATTATATTTTGTGGTCTCAGAGAGACTCTTTATATCTGTAATCAGTGTTAACAGTGCTTGCTTTCCATGGTTTAAAGTCTCACAAAAGAATATTTGGGGAAATAACTGTTTACAAATTACAGAATAGTTACTGCTAGGATTCATGGAATACATTCAGGTGGACTAACTGGGCAAAATGACCTGCAGTGAAAGACTGAATGTCAAACCACATAACCAGTTCTGGAAAAATGGACAGTATCACTTCAAGCTATGTGAAACAAAATACTTGTTTCCCTCAGTCACTATTTTGTCACATCTCTTTAGCTATATGGCCTATCCAGTAAGTGATCTCTTTTTTTAACCTACCCTATGTAGAAAGAACTCATTGCAAATAGAGAAATTCTGAACTGCTGGAGAAATTATACTGTTTAGCTGGCATTGCACCACCTGATATCAGTTGGGAAGTAGCAACCAGTAATGAAAGGACCAAGGCAAGGACATCTCTGGCCCATCTTCTGTTCAGATATCAGCCAGCATGCAAATGTCTTAAATCAAGTAATAGCTTTCTAAGATCTACAGAGATACTTGCAGGAACACTTCAGCAAGTGAGAGTCCAAAAGTGGCAGATTAAAACTCTGAACTTCAATCGTTGGCTGATACCGGAGGAGAAACATTATAATGGTATTCTCAATTCACTTTTGACACAATAAATAAATAAATTGCAAATAGAACAACCATGTTTTTAAAAACAATGTTAAACTTGTGATGTTAGTAGAGGTTTTTCTTTTAGAGAGTTGCTGTGTTGGGGAGAACTGAAATATGAGCCCTATAGTATCTCTAGGTGGGACCAAAGCTAGGATGAGCACTCAAACTGAGCAAGAAGGCAAACAGACAACAAACAATAACTTTGGACAAAGGAACTACCAGTCCAACCTACTCACAGAACTGATCATGGTAAAGTTTATTCCAAACACCAGTATTTTATAGAACTTCAGAGTTATGCAAAGAAAAGTGCACATGAGTGGTGGTCCTTGCCTGAGGTCTATGTGACCAACACAGAATATATCCAGAGCTTGTTGTTTAAGAGGATGTTTTCAGGGTCTGTCATATTCTTTTTTTTAACTATTACCATCTGGCAGATGGTAAAGGGTGACAAAGGCAAGGACAAACAGACTGAGAAAGAGCTTTTATCCTTTAGTTGTAACTATATTGAACTCCATGGTTTCGCATTAATGTGGCATTGGGGGCTGTGCAGTGGGAGTGTGGAGAGATGGGTGTTTTGTTTTGTGATGTGTGCTGAGGAAAGTATTTAATTTAACTGTACTATGACAATAATGTTATTCTATTCTATGTAGCCAAAACATCAGGTTGGTTGCCCTGGGCACATAAAATTGTATTTATAACAAAACACAGAGCTTAGCAAACCATATAGGCCATGGGGAAGATGTCAGTTATTATCAACGTGGATTTTATTAGGCTCACTAAAACAGATTCACATGTAGCTGAATCTATAATTCTTATTTTATACCAACAGTAGGCCAAAATTGAAAATGTAAAGTATTCACTGAGATCTTGCCACAGCAGACATTCGTTTGGGAAAGAGCAACGTTTCCCTAGTGAGACATCTTCAAGTGCTATTCCAACACCCCAAGTGACACATGCCTTCCAACATGGTAACTCCTGTGTTGTTGAGAATTGTGGGGAGGGGCAGGGGATGTCACTGGGGATACATTCAACTATCTCCTCACATCTATAATAAAGTGTAATTTAATTATATTCTGGCATTTAAGCTTCAATTTTGATGACTGACCTTGAGTAATTCCTCCCTCCCCAAGTGCCACCTATAAGGCTAATGTCTAGGAGTGGGGGCATTCATCTTATAGATCTTACCCAACTATATGAAACATTTCTTTAGCTATATGGGCTATCCAGACATCTTGCAGTATTACTGTGGGTTTTGCTAATTCTATTATTGGGGGAGGGGGGAGATATTTTCATGATTTGTTGAGGTTCTGTACTAGGGATTATTTTTCAAAACAAACAAACCCTGGGGTATAGTTTGCTTAAGCAATCTCAAGATAGGAGCCTCCAGTGGCACAATGGGTTAAACCCTGTGCTGGCTGAACTGGTTGATCGAGAGGTTGGTGGTCCGAATCTGGGGAGTGGGGTAAGTTCCCATCTGTCGAGCACTAGCTTCCTATGCATGGACATGAGAGAAGCCTCCCACAGGATGGTAAAACATCAAACATCTGGGCATCCCATGGGCAACGTTCTTGCAGATGGCTAATTCTGTCACACCAGAAGTGACTTGCAGTTTCTCAAGTTGCTCCTGACACACAAAAAAGTGAAGTTTTACATTGCAAACGTGCCATTTTACTCATGCACTATAAAGCTGTCACCCTATTAATATTAAAAGAAATGAGGAGAAAAGAAGGATATTTTTGTGTGTTCCAAGATACCTTGAAATTTAAAGAACCCCATTTGATGGTGGGAACAAAATGCTGCTATTTATGTTGAGAATTGCCTGAAAATAGCCCAGAACAACAGGAACATTATTTGGATTAAGAAGCAACATTTCTTCCCCCCTTTTCCCTCTTATCACTATTTCATTAACTTTTTATAAATGCAATACTTCTTGTTTTAATAACAACCACATTTATTTCAAGTCCGGTTTAATTTCAAGATGTTTTATTGACAAGTATAAATAATATGAGGTAATATCTCTCAACACTTTGTGACAAACATTTTGATTTGGTGGATAGGGTTGCAAAATCAAATTCAAAAAGCAAGGTTATCATCCTTAGCCAAATCCTCTTACTTTACGATTCTCACTTCATTTTACTATATGTGTAAGTCAGTCTTTTGTTACAAAACTTCAGAAAAAGCCAATTACTATTTTAATAGTCATTTGTGTCTCTTTAGGGAAGGCCTGCCTCCCTTGCTAAGAATGAAATAGACTCATATAATTACTATAATACATAACATCTGTATAGACCTTTCAAGTGTTCAGAGTGCTTCATACTATACTTATGATCCTTACAATTCTATAAGAGAAGTCATTATCACTGTTCCTTCTTACTAATGCAGATGGGGTCACTGCAACTGAGAGAGAGAATCAAGAGAGATGATATTTAAATTGAGGAATCCTAATTTGTAGCTCTTAGCCACTATGCTACATCAGCTCTCAGAAAAGCAATTTAATATATTAAATTGAACAACATCAACAAATGAAATAATCTATTTGAAAACTAGAGAAAATACGGATATACTAGGTACTGTAATATCTTTTTGCAAACTAAGTTTTGTTTCATTCACATTATCTCAAAACATTTAGAAACTACAGAGCCTACTTCTGGAACAAATACATTCTGACAATATATATGTGTATATATATATTTATTATATATATATGTATGCATCTTATAAATATATTGTATACTCAGTTATAGATTTCTGGATAATAGCTATGGTAGATATACTAGCAATATCTATATTCAAAAATACAATTCTAGGGTTCTCTAGTCTTACCACTAACAAAAGATAGAATTAAATCTGATCAGTAGAACATATTGGTAAACCAACAGTAAAATGCATCTTTAAAAAGAATACTGTATAAAGTAGGCCGGTTGTTTAATTAAATACATTTTAGTTGGATAATCAATCAATCAGTTAATTATATCTACAAAAATTCTGCATGATGTAGATATAGCAACACTATACATACTCATAAATCAGCCACACTGAGCTTACTTGAATATTCATTTACCTGGGAGGAGGTTGTATTCAGTTCAATGTGCCTTACTTTTGAGTAAACATGCATAGGTTTTCAGCCTATATATTTTGTCTTTGGAATACAAATAAATACTCATTTTCAAATGATGCAAGTATGTGGCAGAACAAGGCACCAATCTTTTATATTTTAGGAAAGTGGAATGTCTCTACTAAGACAGCCTCCATGCCACCTAGAGCTTTATATATACTTGCATAAAAATAATTAACTACCTAAAAAAATAAAATTAACCAAGGGTATCTTTTTCATCATTGGACATATATTTGTTCGATTAGACCTAACTGAGTAATCAGCTAAGCACTGTGGCCCTAGGATAAATAAAGTAACACAACCTCTAAGGGAAGTAAAGGGGAGAAGTATTACAAAGTGAATTTCACAACTGTACAAGATTGTGATGGGATGTTATGCAAAATGTATAAGGGATTTAAAATTTGCAAAATTTGTAATTGACAGAATCTGTATCTAAAATGCTCATCTCTTTTACATGCCTTAATCCAGATTAGGAAAGGTAAACATGAAATCAAGTTTCCTCACATTTATAATTTCCCCATATTTATAAAGAACTGTTTACATAAAAGGGATAGTAGCATGTCAATGTAGATGCCAGATATCCACATTTGTATTGCCTTTAATGGGAATATACAATCTAACAAACATCCCCATATACATTCTAATTCAACTGGTCTCGTGTAAACAGCTTTTAAAAGCACAACTCTAGCAGGATCAGGGCTACAAATTGTGGACGGTCTTCACTCTTGGCAGTGGTTTATCGTGACCCTGTCCAACAAATTCTTACTGGAGCATCCTTGTAAAGTGTGCAGGATTGAACCATACATACATTATATTCATTCAAAAGTCAGAACTGTTTTTCTTTTTACTTTTAAACAACGGTTGATATTGAGAACCTTACCACACAATAGGAGTAGAGTCAAAGAAACCTTTCATCCTAAAACCTCAATACATGGAAAAACCTCACAGAACAGGTTTATTATGTTGTTGGCTTGCCAAACAATTCTTATGGCATTCTTTCACAGTTTGCTGGTGAATGCAGTTGTATTGTCATTGCTGCTGCTTCCTTTACTGCTTGTTGGAATGCGGAGCACAGCTTTGCTTCGAAGTTCTTGAGTTCTGGATTTAGAATTTCTTTTTTGAGAACCATCTGCAATTGAAAACATCCATACAAAATCTGAGACTACAAGTACTGAGTTACTAACTTTCTAACTTCCTTGTATTTCTTTCATTGCTACCTTTCGTGTTTTATATTTATATCATATAGTGGCACAAATCATGGGCTTGACTATTTTTGATAAAAAGAAACATTATGCACTTACCACGGACACCCATTTTCTTAAGAAGCAGAGTAACAATGCACACAGTTAGTTTCACTGTTATTGTTCAGAAAGAATAAGAAAGCGTGTGGCCTAGAAGGGTTTTTTTTTTTTGCTAGTGAAACCTTATCATTAACCTTCAATTTCTTTTATAGCAAAGGAGAAATATTTCTTGATCAACTGAGGGACAGCTACCTCAGATTATGTTTATGTATTATCTTATTTTTATCCCGTCTTTCTTCCAACATAGAAATTCAAGGTGGCTAACATCAGACACAATATAAATTAAAAAAACAAAGCAAGTGCATATAAGTATGAGTATGCAAATTTTAAAAAGAATTATATCTTTGTGCCATAACATAAACAGTAAAAATAGATCTACATTTTGGGACCCTCCATTCCTTGCTGTATTTCAGGACTGCCCTATTTCTATTGCAGTCCTTTTACCAGGACATTTGTCATATTCTGTTTCAACCTAAAGAAATCAGGCTTTTGTTTTCAAAGCCGAATTTACTTGAATTGCACTGGGTGGACAAATCAAGGAAACTGCTGTAGCAAGTCAGATTTAATTCCAAATGCATTTCTTGTTGAATCACCAGCACTCACTTGCTAGACTTTTAAGCCTGAACCTAAGTTTGTTTGGGACTAATATAAAAAGTAAAAGTACTCATCTGCTTCTAATACCAATCAAAGTTCAGTGAGCATTTCAGGATATGACACATCAAGGCAAATTTTAGATTAGCATCTGAATTCCTAAGAATTAAAGCAGAGTCTACAAAGCTAGAGACAGGGGAAAGATCTTATATAAGAAGTGTAAACAACAGGAATTATGGTAGTTGGGGTTCTGCTTAATTTCTACTATTCCATTAGAAAATAGGTAGACACTAGTTTAAAAGGAAATAATGATTATGCCATTAAAGAGAGCTGGTACTGATGACTCATACTTATTTCTTGAAGCTACACTTTAGAAACCTATTAGGCAATGGTTGATAATAACAAACACTAACAGAAGCAGATAATGGAAAGCAGTAGCAACAGGCTTTTTAGGATGAAGTCAGATAAATATCTGGCAGATGATAAATTGTATGCTGAATGTGTTAGCTTGCCACTGAACTCTACTAGACAAATGGAAGAAACAGCAGCCTCTTAGGGTCCTTTATGTACTAATTTTCTGTGAAAAAATCAGAGTGAAAAACACGTTGGTTCAATTTTAAAGGTAAAGATATAGGTTTTTCCTTGACATTGAGTCTAGTTCAATCTGACTCTGGGGGGTGGTTCTCTATTTCTAAGCCGAAAAGCAGGCATTGTCCGTAGACGCTTGCTAGGTCGTGTGGCTGGCATAACTGCATGGAGTGCCATTACCTTCTCACTGAAGAGGTATCTATTGATCTGCTCACATTTGCATGTTTTCAAAATGCTAGGTTGGCAGAAGCTGGGGCTAACAACAGGAGCTCACTTCGTTCTGCGGTGTTGAACCTCCAACCTTCTAGTCAGCAAGTTCTGCAGCTTAGCAGTTTAACCCGCTGCACCACCGTGGGCCCACGGTTCAATTTTGTCATTAATAAAATAAAGAAATCTGATTTCTGAATGTGGTCTTTTCCCTCTCCTTCCCTCTTTTCTATCTGTCGACAGAATTAGATATGTGTAGGCAGCAGGATATCTAATCATATAATCAACCCTGGCAAAATGGGCAAAAACTACAGATGCCACTGTGAGAATGAGAAGGGAATGATCTAGTAACTCTTGGGAAGACAACTACTGTTTAGCAGCCAGAAACATCTGAAGCAGGCATATACCAAATAACTCATGACCTACAAGGCCTTTTCAAGGGCAAAGGTCAAAAGCAAGACCAAAGAATGCTCTCACCTACGACATATGATTTTGCTGTGCATTTTGCTGTTGCTGCTGAATTAACAGCTGTTGCTGTTGTCTGCGTCGTGCTGTCCTCAGTTTTTCAAAGCGAGCCTCCATCTCATCCAGCACTTTAGGAGTGTAGCGTACCACCAGCTTGACACTGTCCTTAGCAGCTTTCAGGAGCTCCACAGCTTTTTCGTGATGCTCTCCTTCCACACTCTGAAAAAAATGATTTTTGGAGCCCTACGATTAAGAATTTGGGTTTGGAGGCTGTCTTAGTCCTGCCTGTCCTTGAACTATAGCAGTTCTTAATCCAAGAGAGAGTGAGAATGCATAACAGCAGGATTCAGCGTGAGGATAAAAACATATTGCCTGCATTATGATAATGTAAGAATTAAATAAATTACTCCCTTAAACAAATGCAACACTGCTGAAGTAGCAGAAAGGCAAACGGATAATCCAGGCTTCTTGTCTATCAAAAGAAACAAAATGTTTAAAGTAGGCTTACACTGAATTTGTGAAAACATTGGTTGCCTTCAAGTTGACTTTGATTTACAGCAAACCTATAAATCAGAGATGTCCAAGTCGATCTATTCTCTACAGCTTTGCTTTGAGATGAATCTCCATTTAATTCAATGGGAGTCACTGCTAAGAGATATTCAAATGAACTCATTCATCAATTCAACTACTATGGGAGGGAGCTGAAGGTAAGTAATCACTGGTCATGCCCTTTACACAATAATATGATCTCTTTTCTTACTGCTTTTCACATTTCCAATACCATCTGATCCAATGAGTCCTACTGTGTCATGATACCATAAAGAGTGTGTATATGCACACACACACACACTTTTTAATTTGCTATATAGGCCCTGAACTTCTTGGGAAAACTACAATTTAGAAAACTCAAAATCAGTGCAAAATGATCACGTACCACTCCATTGACCGAAAGCAGCTGGTCTCCGCGTTTGAGTCCTCCATGCCTCTCAGCTACTCCTCCAGGAATTATGCGAGAAATATAAATAGGAGAATTTTGCTCTTTTCCTCCCATGACATTGAAGCCAAGGCCTTCATCTGTCTTTGGCAGTTCTACAACTCGAGGGTGAGAATGGCCTTCACTGGCAGCAAAAGCTGCAACGGTTGCCTAGAAGAAAATGCACTTTTTAAACACATAGTTAGAAAAGCACTATGGATAATTTTGTTCAATTGATTCACTTCTACAATGCAACATTTTCCATTTAAAAATACAATATCCTTTTGAATAAGCGACACTGATATTGAGAATATAGTGCTCAAGCTCTTCCTTTATTTTTATTTTTCACTATTTTGATTATTAAAGTATAGCTATGTTGTTTTCTATTGTCTAATGTGTTTGGTCCTGATGTAAACTGTTTGTATGTTTTTTCTTTGGGCATTGAATGTTTGCCATATATGTTGGGGACCGCCCTGAGTCCCTTCGGGGAAATACGGCAGTCTATAAATAAAAATTTGTTGTTGTTGTTGTTGTTGTTGTTGTTGTACAGTTATGGGGCAACAGAACTATTACAGAACTATAAATTCTGAGGCTTATATGCACTCTGATACCCACATGGAGCTGTATCTAAGTACCAATTCCAACTAGAGCAAACACACTGAAGGCACATCTGTACTGTTGAATTAATGCAGTTTGACATTACTTTTATGGCTCAATGCTATGGAATCCTGGGAGTTGTAGTTTGGAAAGGCACCTGCCTTATTTGGCAGAGAAGACAAAAGACCTCCCAGGATTCTATAGCATTGAGCTATGGTAGTTAAAGTGGTGTCAATCTAGAGTGTAAATGTACCCTGAATCAGTAAGATTTACATTTAGAAAGCCCCATTGATCCAAGCAGTCTTGTTTAGCTGAAGCCTACAACTGAATGTAGCCTGTGGAGGTCCTATTTATGTATCTCATTAATGCAGTTCATGCATGTAAAAGAAATGATAAATATCAGAGTTTTGCAAGGTGCAATTTTTCTCTACATATGCATTAGATTTTCTATATCTTTAAGGAATGCTTTAAGATGTGGCCTCCCTATTAAACTTGAGCATTGATGAAAGCAAATCCTTACCAACTGTGGTAATTTAGTCCCTATCTACATTGTCATATAACATCCAGATTATCTGCTTTGAACTGGATTATACTAGTTTACGCTGCCATATAATACAGTTCAAAGCAGATAATCTGGATGTTATATGGCAGTGTAGGAGGGGCCTTAGTTAGCTTACTAAAGTACAACGTGTTTTCTTTCTAATGTATGCACAGTATTTTTCAAATACGTATTTTTAAATATTTGGAGAATTTTTATCTCCAACCAAATCAAGGTAGAGCTGTAATGTAGCTACTAAACTTCAAGCTAGAATGGAGATGCATGAAAGAGTTTTCAGTCCAAAAGAAAAAGTCTACATCTACAATGGAACCAGTGACTTGTAGTGATGATAAGGAAAGTTTGTAAAATTATTTCATTATGTCAGTGTAATAACATTAGCTGATACACTTTTGGGACTCCTTTAAGTATAAGAGAAGCTGAAATAAGGCCATCAAAAATAATAAATGGCAAAGGACCCAAAAGATGAAAAAATGAACTACAAGACACTTTTCTCTCTCTCTCTCTCTCTCTCTTTTTTGAAATGGCACGGGAAGTAACTCAGTTTTTAAATAACATTAGATCAGCCCCCTCCCTCCAGGCGTTCAGAAGAAAAGTAAAAACTTGACTGTGGGATCAGGCTTTTGGAGAATAATACAGTGCAATAACATATTTGGAATCTGTGCAATGACTATGGAACGGCTTGGGCTACGATTATGAATGGGGTGATTTTAATATGAAATGTAATGTTTTTAAATATCTGATATGTATTAATTTTAACTTAATTTTTAATTTTAATATTTTGGAATTGTATGTGTGTTAAGGCATTTGATAATTGCCTCTGTTGTAAGCCACCTTGACTCCCCTTTGGGGTAGAGAAAGGCAGGGTATAAAAAGGGTGGGTAAATAAATAAATAAAAATTAACTAGGAAGTATACTTTGCTATTAGTTATCATGCATCTTTTGAATATTAAAATCTAAGCCAGAACCCACTCAATATTAAGTGCTTTCTGGATTTACCAATTTTAACAGCAGACAATAAGTACATTTTCTTTCATTAAAATAAATGTGAAAAGCAGGTGCTTAATGTTAGTTGCATTATTCTCACAAGTCCTAAGGGTGCTGTAAATGGAGGGCATATAACAATTTACTGGGGATATTTGCTCAATAGATACAATAGATATAAAATGAATATAATTCCTTAGTTACACTGGCAAAATTTGTCATCATGCAAACTTGGTCATCATGCACACATTCAATGTCAGACACAAGAAAAAAATGCAATGCAGACAGCCCAGAAATAGCCAGGAAGTATTGATACTGAAACATTGCTCTACAGTCTTGCTGTTCTATATGGATAAGAAATGAGAATGACATACCTACTTGAGAGTTTTTCACTTTTAACTATGTCACTTAGCAGTCATTTCTGTTTATATCCACAGCAAGATAATTTGGAAAACAGTTTTCCAGAATCCAACCTTAAATAACCTTAGAGTTCTGGGATCAAACTCATTTTTCTAGAAATGGGAGTCATTTTATCCATATTTACAATCCATAATATCAAAAATATTGAATTACTAAAAGTGTTTTTATTGGCTTTATTAAGACATTGTAAAAAAACTACTTCCCCTGCACCAAGTTTTGGCTTATCTCCTAGATGTCAAGGAAAATCAGTATGTATAGCTCTGATTCACATGATTCTCAGAGCTATTTCTCCCCATTCTTTCAAAGGAAATACATTCATATTTTATCAGTAACAAATAATGAGGAAAGGAAGTAATTTATTCCATAGGGAAGCACCTATCCACTTTACAAACATCTATTCTTGTACAATGAAAACACAAAAGTACATTCCAGACCTAGTTACAAAGGCAGTATCTCTAGGTGCAGAAATATTGTGCCATTTCAAAGGAATCGTAATTATAAAAGGGACTGTTTTTCAGAAATGATGAAAATGCACAGCTATTGCTGTTTTCTAAGAAATGTGTGCTCAGCACTTCTGAAAATGGGACTCTCTTAGCCCCTACTATTAAGAAGATATTACGAATAAAAATGGCTAGGAGAGACCTGAGTACAGAAGCACCAATGGTCAATGTAAAAAAAAAGAGCAGATTTGATTGGAAGCTGATTCCCACGCCGCCCCAGCAAGCCGCTTAACTCTATAAAGCATTCTCTTTTCTTAAGCTACAGAAGCAGCACAAAGGTTGAATTTGCCATTATGATTGTTACCTGGGAAGTAGTACTGGTTCTAGACTCTGGGCTGCCACTGATGTCTAAATTTTCTTACAGTGTACACACGAATACCTGAAACATACACGCGCACAGTCAATAACTAGGCCACGTTGGGAGCATACATTCTAAAGCTGAAAGCTCCTTACCTTTGCGGTAGCCCTGGCACGGAATTCTGGGCAGCCATTAACACTTATGGTTTCATGCATATACTGATATACCTAAAATGATAAAAGAAAAAACAAAACAGAAAAATATACAGTTATGGAAGCAAAATTAATAATATTGGATTGAATGCTTGTTGTATTTAGTTGTGTCTGTCTCAAAGGACTTTTATTTCTGTTTCTTGATTTAGTTTAGATCAGTGGTTCCCAACTTTCTTTTGACCAGGGATCACTTTGACCAGGGACCACCCTCCAACATTAGTACCAAAAAAAGTGTTACGAATCAGATTTTGGTCAACTTTGGATTCGGTTTGGTTATTTGGGGTGCTGATTCAGAAAATTGCATTGGATAGACCACATCAGCTCTAGTTTCTGATGCAGAACATATGCCATCCAGTAGTTGCCATCTGCTCACCCATAGAAAACCATATTTAATAATCTAGAGCTGATGTTGTCTATCCAAAGGGGTAGGGCTAATCAGCAACAGAGAAGGTGTGGCAGGTGGCAGAAAGGAGCAGAAATAAAATAAAATAAAATAAAATAAAATAAAGAGGAAGGTAGCTCATGGACCAGATTTTCGTCCTCGTGGCCCACTGGTGGTCTGTGGCCCACAGGTTAAAAACTACTGGTTTAGATGAACTGTAGACTTTTTATCTCCAACAGCCTTGCTACAAGCTCAGTTTAGTAACATTTGCTCAGTACTGCACTGTATTTTCTGCAAAAGTCAGACTGCTGCCTTATTATTAGCTACGTATGGAATATAGCTCTTTCACGGCAATAACCCAATGTGTGAAACTGTCAGTTATATCATATTCCATGCCTCTACATCTCTATTTTGTATATGATAGTTAGTATCCAGTTCATTATTTATAGCTAGAATTAGGAACTCATAAATTTTGCCATTCACATTGCCCTGACCATGAATCCTCCTCCAACCCAACTTAAAATTCAGGAAGCCCCACCAGCTATTGTGTGTCGCTGGTAAGCGGGGTGCTGTAGGCTGATATATCCACCTTACTGCCCCTGGTGTGACATGCAGTTGTGATAGGACTCCACAGATTCCTGCTGCTGCTTGTTGCACCATGCTTTGCTTATAGAAGGGGGTTGAATGCATCATCCTTCAGTGCTACTGCCAGGGCCACAGAACTCTTTTGAGGAATCAGATCAGGATGGATCAAATCTATATCATTGTAACTACATTTCCCATGTGTGATCTTAACTGATTTTAGTCAGTGAAATTAAGTGAGTCTGGACATGGTTACCATGTGTCCACCTTTATAGAGGACAGTTGTCCATTTGACTGGCAAACAAAAACAGGTGTATGCTTGGAGATATCTACTTTAGTTTGAAGCTCTATCAAGAGCTGGTCATTCTCTTGGGCAGAGTAAAGTTATGAAGCTCCATGCAGATTATTTTGGGTGTCATGAAATGACAACAATTGTTATTTATTCCATTCATAATTGTCAAATGACATGATTAAAAGAGATAAATTTGCAGGATTTCATTACTCAAATGCCAAAATAACATGATCATCTGTATGTATTATATTTGGCAGACCCTAGAATACCAAAATCTACGGGTGCTCAAGTCCCATTATATATAATATCATAGTAAAATGGCATCCTTTATATAAAATGGAAAAACCAAGGTTTGCTTTTGTAATTTCTTTACAAAATATTTTTCAAGCCATGGATGTTTCAATTCATGGATGTAGAATGTGTGGATATGGAAGACTAACTGTACCTTAGCAGGGACGAGGTTTGCAATTTGCTGTTTCATCTTTATCAGCAAAATGTTTTGGGATGATCTAGGACCTTCCTAATGCAAGCCTCATTTAAAAACAGATAATCATAAGAAGAGAGAACAAAGATTGAAGTTGCCCATCAATCATTAGCATCAGGAGAGCAGACTAAACAGATATACTGATCACAATCTCCCCCCACTACTGAGGCACCTTCCACACTGCTCTATATCCTAGAATCTCATCCCAGGTTATCTGCTAATCCCAGAATATATGGCAATGGAGACTCATATAATCCAGTTCAAAGCAAATCCTGAGATATAAGGACAGTGTAAAAGGGGCCTGAGATGCATTGCATTTCTCTACAGAGCTACTTAGCTACATTAAATGTATTCTTGCCATCTACCCATAGTCCACTTAAAGAGCCAGGCTTAGCTAGCAATAAAGGTGCAAGGAGGATAAGGTGTAACAATTCTGTTGCACCTTAATTCTCTTTCACCTTCCTGCATAGATTTGCTCACTGATAAAGTATCTGTGTGGAATTTTCATATTTCTTGTGTCCCAATTGCCAGGCCCAACTGCTGGCTGTTAAGATGGACATTTATGTAATTTTATAATAAAACTATATAATCTTCCTGAAAGCAGAACAGTTATAGATCTGGAACACCAGGTTACAAATCGACAACTACAATACTGAATGCCAGCCATCCCCCCCCAAATTTGCATCTCTATATGCTAGTAATTACATACACATTTATGGCAATTTGCATTCTCTTTTGTCCCCTTGTCAATCATGCATGGTGAAGCGTAAGTAGCCACCTAAGCTTAGATGCTGGAAATCAAGATTCAAATTATCACTAGACTGCCAGCTTCACAGAGGAAGGAGCTCATGCAGAGTTGAAAAAAGATACTAAAGCTGCAGGAACCTCTTGCCTTAATGGAACATTAATGGAGCAACTTTCCATTTCCATCCTATAGGTCAACTTAACATTGGTCGAAGATATGTTCTGCAATAGACCTTGTTATGGTTTTCATTTCGAGTTTCTGTTTCTCACATCACTTTGTTTTTTTAAAAGTAACAGAGGAATAAGAACTTAAGAAAAACTCAGCTGAATCACACCAAAGATCCAATTAGTTCAGGATTTTGCTCATATAGCATTCAAGTGCAATAGTGTCCTTCTGAAATTGAGCCTTCCCCTAACACACAGGTATTTGTTGTTGTTATTTTGTGCCTTCAAGTACTTTCCAATTTAGGACAATCCCAATGCAAATTTTCTTGGCATAATTTGTTCCAAAGGGTTTGCCTTTGCTTTCCTCTAGGGTTGAAAGGGCGTGATATGACTAAAGATACCCTGTAGGTTTCCATTATTGAGAAGGGATTTGAACCCTGGTCTACAGATTTGTAGTCCAATGCTCAAATGACTATACCACCCAAACTTTCTTATGGTAAAGATTCTTGATCAGTTTAGAATATGGGCACTTCTGCAAAAGACTGGGACTGTTAGTAAAGGATGTATTATTGTGCCCAGGTGGTTTGAAATCCGCTCTGACCCCATGGCCATCTGTTCTTTCTTCCTTTTTTGCCTCATGCTGAGGTCCCTGACCTGAATTTTACCTCAGAAATAAAAGTCCTTTGAGACAGACACAGTTAAATAATTGTATCCCAAATTGCCTTTGCCATCCTACCTGGCACCTACCCATACCTGCCACCTCCTGACATAGCAGCATGATCCCCTGAGAGAAACACTGCATGTTTTGTCAGTATATAAATAAAATATCCTTCCAAAAGAATTCTCCACTGGTGTTTAACTACTCTACCATTGGAAATGTAAAAATCAAGTTGTTTCACATGTTTGACATAACCTAAGCATCAACTACTAGTGAATACTACACATCTATAAATAAGATACAATATTGGTTTAAGCAACAAAAGGTTCCAAGCAGTGGTTCTCAACCTTCCTAATGCCGTGATCCCTTAATACAGTTCCTCATGTTTGGTGACTCCTAACCATAAAATTGTTTTTGTTGCTACTTCATAACTGTAATTTTGCTGCTGTTATGAATTGTCAGGCAAATTTCTGATATGCAGGATGTATTTTTATTCACTGGATCAAATTTGGCACAAACACCTGACATGCCCAAATTGAAATACTGGTGGGGTTGGGGTGTGTTGATTTTTTCATTTGGGAGTTGTAGTTGCTGGGATTTATAGCTGACCTACAATCAAAGAGCATTCTGAACTCCACCAATGATAGAATTGAACCAAACTTGGCACACAGAACTCCCATGACCAACTGAAAATATTGGAGGTTTTGGGAGGAATTGACAGTGATTTAGGGGAGATGTAGTTCACCTGCATCTGGAGAGCACTGTGAACTCAAACAACGATGGAGCTGGACCAAATTTGGGACAAATACCTGATTAGCCCAAATTAGAATTCTGGTGGATTTGTGGGGGGAGGGGGGATTGCTTTTGTCATTTGGGAGTTGTAGTTGCTGGGATTTATAGCTGACCTACAATCAAAGAGCATTCTGTATCCAACCCACAATGGATCTGCAACAAACTTGGCACATTACCTACATGGCCAATATTGAATACTGGTGGGGTTGGGGTGGGGAAGGGGCTGTTTTTTAATTCTGGGAGTTGCAGTTCACTAACACTCAGAGAGCACTGGTGATGAAACTAGTAACTTGCCACACATTCACAACATGCCAAACTTTGAATACTGGTGGGGTTTTGAGCGGACTAAGCATTAATAAAAAATAAAAGGAAAGGCTGACTTTTTTCTAACAAATTACCAAAGCTGCTTTTGCTCCTCATCCTCCTCCTGATGCTGCTGGGCCACTCCCAGTCCCACATTGCGCAGGGGCTTTCCACCTGCCTTGAAGGGACTCACTGGCACAAGTCTCCCTCCAGCCTCATGCGATTTTCCTTGCTCGCACATGCACACCATGCTGCCATGCATGGAGGACGCCTCCTCACCACTCCCTGCTTGGAGTCTCAGAAACTGCCATCCCCTTGGCTGAGAGGCTGGCCAAAAACACAGCAGGAGGAAGGCTTTTGGTAGGAGAATTTGTCGTCTGTTTCCAAAAAGGAAGAGAAGGACAGATGGAGAGATCTTCAGCCTTCTCTACCAAAGGGGTTCCTAAGACCATCAGAAATATGTGTTTTCTGATGGTTTTGGAGAATCCTCTGACCCCCCCCCCCCCCCCCCGCCTGACTCCCCTGGGGGTCCCGACCCCCAGGTTGAGAAATGCTGCTTTAAAGGCACAAAACAACAACAACAACAGATGCTGTTTTCCTAAAAAGTCTGTCA